GTCCAGGGTCTCCTCGTCGAACTCATCGCCCAGCTTGAAGCTGATGGCCGACGTCTTGAAGGTGGAGGTGGTGGTCAGGGTGTAGGTATCACCCTCCAAGGTCACCTCCACAGTGGGGCTCAGGCTGTTGCCCATCTTGCGCGTCACCAGACCAACGCCTGCAAGTGGAAGAATGAAAAAAAAAAGTTCAGAAATCAGTAAAACTAATGGGATGGGAAAGTAAAGAAATCAAAAATCGGAATGAAAGATGAATTATGAGCAGACTGCACATAATTGAATTAGCCCAACAAAGTTGGGGACCCCAAAGCGGTCACAATGCAAATCATATCATATTTAATTAAAAATAATAAAGCCGAGTCATGAAGTTCCCTGCAGACTCAGTCGGAACGTCAAAAGTCGTGCTCAAGGTTAACGAACAATGCGGGTCGTCGTCTCCTCCGCAGCCTCCGGGGCTTATCAATTGGCAAGCCCCTCTATATATAGATCGAGCGAGACACCACCTTATCTCAGCGCTGCATCCCATATATGTATATATATGTGAACATGTCATTTACAAAGTATATGCTATATTTGCGGTTATCTTTGAACATTGTGCTTTGTTACTAATTTATGTTCTATAAAATAATTCAAGTGGGTTATGTCCAGTCACTCCAATTTTAAAATCGTAAAATTTTCAAGTGCTGATAGTTACAAAGAATAATAAGGGTAATAAAGTAATCGAAAGATTAGGTGATTCCATCATTAAAAGATTGCCATTTAAAATAATCATTCAATCGTGTTAAAATAATTACTAGCATTTGATTCTTGATATTATAGTATTCATAGTTTCTGATATTTATATATACTTATGTACTTTGTATATGAAATCATTTCTATTCAGACCCAGTTCCGCTTTTTTTTTTCTCAAATACACTTGCATTTTATTTTTGTTGGAGTTGAATTGTGTGATACATTATGGCAAGGAAAGAACAAACAAAACATGAATCACTACTTGTGTTCTAAATACAGAAACACATTTCAGAGAAAAAGCACGTAAGACTTTCTTATTCGATCTGACCTTTATTACATCGAATCTGGAACAATGTGCAGCTATCAAACCATCAAGGGGTCCAATCAATTATGTTCAATTATGTATGGACCAGATATACTCCACCACAGGCTTGTACTTTTCTCAAGTCACATCGAGTCAAGTGTCAACTGACGTCGCGCGATAAGTTTCCAAGTTCCCACTCATGGGAACCCAGCAACTGTACCAGAGATCGATTTATATGCATCGTATATGACAGGAGAACCTTGAATAGATTAGACCGGGCTGCAATTGCGAACTGTGGTCTATGATAGGGCTGCCTGCCCAAAGTGCAAAATCCGTAATCGCGCCTAATTATCGTGCCCAATGGCACATATAGGCATATAGTTTATCGCATTTATATACGACAGCTGATAACTGCTGCGAGGCCCCAACGACAGGTTGAATTGGATTTGTTTGGGTTTGAAAATTGAGAAGTACGTGGCTCTGGGACCAAGTCTAGCATTAAAATCGAAACCGCAAAGTATAGGGTAAAAGTTCTGGTGAACTGGGCGTCTTGTAAATGAATCCGGGCCTCAAAGCGGCGCGCCATCTCCGATTTCTAAATGTATCCCATCGCCCTGACGCGTCCTTCAAGCGGCGTCTAGACAGGAACAGAAACTATTGTTCGATCTTATGGTATAACACCCATTTTATTAGAAATACTTTGAGCACTAAAATAATCTTTCTTTCTTTTTAGTATAGTCTACTAGCTAGGCCAAAGATCGCAGCTATAAAGCTTGTAGTACAGTACAAAGTTCAGTGAGAAACTTTCCCCCAAAATCTAGTACACAAATATTATACGACACCTGTCGCAAAAGCTAAAGTCATAATGATGATGGTCGGGTCCCATGGAAAACAGACAGAGCTGACTCAAAAAGGGGAGCAAAGTTCAGACCCCACACTTAATTAGTTTTTGGGTTTATGGCTCTAGCAGATAAGCTTTAGCGGAGTTTAGGCCTTTTGCACTCGGATTCGTAACTGTAAATTTGGAAAAGGAGGTGAGGAGGAATACGTTATTTTGCAGCTTGTGCATCTCTTTTTATCTGCTCTTGCTCTTTACATATTGATTTTCATCTCACACACATATGGAGATTTAAACAGGGGCGGATTTGCAGTCGAATTTAGAGGGGTACTTTTAAAGTGCAGCGAATTTGAACAATGAAGTTCGTTCATAATTTGCTGTTTCTTATTCTGCACTTTTTCATTCAAGACTGGGAAACAACTAACATCCCCCTGACGACCCCTGAGTTTTTTGCACACTAGTGCGAAAAAGCCGGCCGGTCGATTTCGGTGGCGTGTTTTTGGCTTTTTCTCTCCCTCCTCTCTTTTAGGCACTTTTTTTTGGATTTCTAATCTATTTTTACCGCATTGCGGATTGGTGTTTTGGTTCTGGACACTTACCCAACTCCTTCATGTACTCATCGAAGTTCTCGGACTTGTCCAGCTTGTACTTCTTGCCAACGAAAGACATTTTTGGGGATTGGATTTAATCTGGTGATTTAAACAAGATGTTCACTACTTGAAAGTTTTCGAAGCGAATAAAAAGCTTCGCCTCGCGCCGGCTCTTTTATACTCTCGCATCGCGGTGCGGCATTGCCAGATGCAAAGTATATTTCGCTCGCTCTCTTTCGCTCGGTGTTGCGCGGCTTTTGAATTTCTTTTGGTTTGTTTGTTTGTTTCTTTGGATGCTTGTCTTGCGAGAATAAGCGGAAACATTTAATGATGGCTTCGGCTGAGCATCGGATTACCAGATGCAAAACCAAGTACAGCCGCCAAGGTATCGAAATGTCGGCGCCAAACACACACTAAGCGCTCTTACATAAAACAGCTTTTTTAGGCGCTCTCTAAAAATTATATTAATATTGACATGTACGGATCGTATAAATATATGTAGCTATAGAATCGCACATTGACCGCTCCTTATAAATGGGTAATGGGTCCGACGTGTTGCTACTAGCCGAAGTATCATACTAATTCTGAGTAGGACCAGCCCCTCTTACACCTTGGCGTGATCAATTGGCTGCAGCTTTAATTGCTTCAAAGGTACCGTCTTAATAATGGGAGGTACATTGTCTGGTGACAATGAAATTGATGTAGGTCTCTAAAATACAGTAAAACTTTGCTTCTTCCAGCTGGAGCTGGATAATCCAAATTAATCAATTTATAGAGGGAACTAAATAACCCTAGATATTTAATATTATGCAGACTTGAACTCTAAGTTCTTATATTTTTTAATGTACTTACTACTCCAAATAATAAATACCTTTTCTAGATCTTAAAATACTGAAAACCCAATTTTTATTAATTATTCCATCCCAAATTTGTCGGCTTTTTTCTGTGGGTCAGTGGCACCATTAATCACTACAATTTCTATGGATCATGTGCATGGGTATAAATAACTTTCGACACAATTTGTTCATATTATTCTTATGAATATCTTTTTATAAGTTGGCGGTGAATTGTAATCTAATCAAGAACTTCCTTCCACCAGGGCCATCCAATGCAATATTGTGATTACCCACGATCTCCACAAGCTACCCATCCCGTCGGAGACCCACCTACATGCATACCGATTTTGTTTGTTGCTATGCGTTATCTTATTAATTCAATTAGCCGTCGGGGATACCGTACCCCGTCGTCAATCACCCCTCTTATTGCATTAAGCATTAAAGATAACTCAAAATTTATGGGAGTTTGAAAAATGTTAAATTGAAACCAAATGAAGGTGATTTATAAAATCAATAAAATTGTATCCTTTTCTTTTTTTTGAAAATATACAAACTTTTAAAAGTAACGTTTGATTTAATATTTTTTAAACTATGTTTCTGATTTGAATAGCATACTTTTTGTCCCTTGGTTATATGTGAAGGCCGAAAGTATGGAATATAAAAATGATTGGATCAGCCAAAAGCCCACACTTCCTGGCATCGCAAAGATTGGGATAGTGCGGTCCCGGACTCTTTACAATGTATAATGAGCATTACTTATCAACAGAGCTAGTCAGCTAGTTTTTGAGCCAACAATTTAATATCATGTTTGCTTGTCTGATAAAAAAGCGTATCATTATTACACATTGGTTATAACTGATTACTAGAGCAAAGTGTCATGCAAAACGAGGAAAACACCCGTTGGCCCGCTTATCACCCGATGCAAGATATCACAGAGCCCCCACAAAAAAGATCTAGAGAGTGCCGGCATCGAAGAGCGGTACCAAAAGAGTGATACTACATCACGTTAGAAGCCCCATAGAGCAAGCAGTTCAACACGATGGAGTCCCCAGAGCGGAGCTACAAAGAGCCCGGAGATCTTTCCAAAGAGAGCCGTACCGATCTTAACCTGACACAATAAGCGCAGAGAGAGCTCAGTGGGGCAAGTATTAAAGGTGGAGCTCGGGAGAGACATCCATTAGAACGAGGCGGACCGTCGGAGCGAGCACATAACCCTGGGTAGAATAGCGCGTATTGCCATGTGTACTTCTATAAGTTCCCGATAATTCCGATGTGCGACGGATGAAAACACATACGAAACGCAACGCAACCAATGACGAAATTCTGTTTCGGCTGTAACAGATAAAAATACTAAGTATCTGAGAGTGAAGTGATCTTTTTGAACCGGTACCCCAGCATTACCAATAGAGCTACCAAATCAAATGCCACGCCATATTACCTGCACTTGCTAGTGGAAAAGTTTACTCCCTTCGAGCGCGAATAGAAATCGATTCGGATATATCTTTTAAATTCGCTAGCATTTCCATCTGGTTTCTCTCTGGCTAATACAAAACTAATTATATTAGTGTTGAGCGCGTGTCCGCCTTCGGATCGAGAAGTGCTAATAAACCGCGGCAGCCCAAAGACAATAGCGGTGACCAAACAAGTCTCCTGTAATGCTACATTCTATATAGTGCAATTTAACTCCAATCAGTGCAATCAGCATGCAGTCGATGAAAGCCGATGAACTGCCGGAGAATCCGCGGGAACGCTCCAATCCCCTCTCCTCACTCATGTTCTGGTGAGTATACTGGGTAGAAATTGTTGCTTTCTAGGGCATTCCCGATAGAAATTTTTATGGTTTGTTAATTAAATGTCAGTCCAGCGTTTTCATGGCGACAAACATTTTAATAATAATAACAAAATTGAAACCCCCCTCATATATCCTAACTTTTAACAGAAACCAGTTTAGAATTTATATTAATATACGTTTTGTTCAAAAATAGAACGTATTATTGGGAAGTACAAGAGCTAGGAGTTCTTTTATATGATTAAAGCTGTGATGATAAGAAAATTACCCCATTGATGACTAGTTTAGGTGTTATTTTGTCGTTGTGCCTTGAATAGGGGTTCAAGGGATTGGGGGACAGACAACGTGACAACACAGACAACATGTTGATTATTTCATTCAATGGTTCGCTTAGTTTGCATGGCCGAGGCGAGGAAATCTTTTTGCATTTGACTGCATCTTTATTCAATTGGTTACCAATTGAAGGCGACACTTAGCTATAGCTCCAACTGTTGGAAATCATTTGGGAGGGAATCCACCAACGTTAAACGCAAAAGCACCAATGATATCCAAAGGTGATATCTGGCTAGGTGGAAAAAGTGCTGTCAAATTGATATGAGTCAGAGCTGTGAAAATTGCGAAAAAAACAAGCTTTTTTAGAAGAGGTGTGGATATACCCATCAAGGTTTAACTTGACAACATACATAGTTTAATTTATAGAGGCTTCTGATTACTGATTGGATTTCATTTTTAAATAGAACAATTAGTCGAAGTTCAGCAAACACGCCGAATAGTTATTTAATCTTTATACATTTTTCTTTGTCATTTCGAACTAAAACAATATAGTTAATAAAAATCTCTGGGAACTTGCCACTTGCTCATTTGTGTCGGCTTATCGTAAAATATGGATGCATTATTGGTTGCTATGAAATCATTTGTATACTATAGTCTATTATCATGGGATATTTATTTTTTAATTCAGAAAAGTGCCAGTACTATCTGAAAAAACTAACCTCATATGCACATTACGTTCGAGCCATAGATTAATTGTTGATTTCTATTGTGTGTGAAATTTGAGTTGGAAAAACTTTATTTGCGTTAGAGAATTTCGACCGTGACAAACTCTTTTTATAAGGCCACATTGGCTGGCAACTGTTTTTTCCTGATAAGCCCCGGGAAACGTCGGTAGTCTGTTTTTTTTGGTTGTCACAACATCACAAAAGAATTATCAGTATCAGTCCCTGATAACAGAAAACCTCTGCTAATTATGTTTTAATTGTACCCCAATAAAATCTACCTACGTGATGCTCTTTCAATGTGAAGTTTTGCCATGCCCGTACTATTCAAAGGGCGGAAGAAGAATTTGGAACAAAAGGATCTCTACCGAGCCCTCAAAGAGCACAAATCGGGTGAGTTTCTTAAATTAAATATTACATATTTACGTACATATTTTAATGGGTGTTATCTTTAATGTTCAGACTCCCTGGGAGATCGTTTATGCACAGCCTGGGATGAGCAGGTGGCCAAAAATGAGACTCCGCGTTTGGGTCGTGCCCTGATGAAAGTATTTGGCTTTCATTTGTTCCTCACGGGTCTTTCTCTGTTCGTCCAGGAATTCTTAACCAAGTAAGTAGCTCCCGAAAAACAACATCAGATTAAATACTAACCAAGCTCTTTATTCTACTATAGAGTCACCCAGCCCATCTGCTTGTTTGGAGTGATGGCTTACTTTGCCGGTAATGATCCGGATCTGACCAAGGCCCAGTTATATGCAGCGGGCCTCATAGCAGGTTCCGTATTTAGTGTGCTTATAGGCCATCCCTATATGTTGGGCCTACTTCATCTGGGTATGAAGATGCGCGTGGGTAAGGTTTTTATATAATATTTATATAGATGATGAGTAAGATCAATAATCTTCTCCTAATTGCAGCACTCAGCAGTCTCATCTATCGCAAGGCTCTTCGGTTAAGTAGAACTGCCCTGGGCGACACGACAGTGGGTCAGGTGGTCAATCTCCTGTCCAACGATGTGGGACGCTTTGATTTGGTTTTGATCAATGTGCACTACCTGTGGATAGCACCGTTGGAACTGATCGTTGTCACCTACCTGATGTACCTTGAGGTAAGTGGATGTTTAGGAAATCGGAGAATGTTTCTAATCGACACCTCAAACCGGTTCCCAATCCATCCTCTTTGGAACAGTTCGATGAGTTTTTGAGTTTTTTAAACGTGACCCACCCTTTTAAAAAGCTTATAATGTCACATACGTACGTGCTGCACAATAATAGGAATACTTTTCATTATATTTATTGAAAACCAGTTAGCCAAAAAAGGGTCAGCTTTTAGCAAATAAGATACATTTGCAACGTAAAAAAACGTTAATTATTTGTTACCCATTTTTTTTACCAATAAAACTATTATACCTTTCACCCGGTTCACAATATAGATAGCTATCAACAAATGATTTTGCCTTGCGTATAATTACTTTTTGTGTGCACACTTATTTGGAAGAGCAGATAAGGGAAGTACATTTATTTTGGAGCGAGAAATGCTAATGAAAATAGACTCGCATATTTATGAATTAAATTAAATTTTATGATCCGCAGCTGTAACAGTTTAATGTGTTCTCTGATTATTATTTTATAGATTGGCATATCTTCCATTTTTGGGGTTGCGATAATGCTTCTGTTCCTGCCCTTCCAATCCTACCTCGGCAAGCGGACCAGCGTGCTGCGCCTGCGCACCGCCTTGCGAACGGACGAACGTGTCCGGATGATGAACGAGATCATCTCGGGCATCCAGGTGATCAAGATGTACGCCTGGGAGAAGCCATTCGGCAAGGTGGTGGAGCTGACCCGCTTTAATGAGATGCTGTGCATCAAGCAAGTCAACTACATCCGCGGCATCCTCATCTCGTTCTCCATGTTCCTATCGCGCATCTTCACCTCCACCAGTTTGATTGCCTTCGTCCTGCTGGGAAATGTCCTGAATGCCGAGAGGGCCTTCTTCGTCACTGCCTACTACAACATCCTGCGTCGCTCGGTGACCATGTTCTTCCCGCAGGGCATCTCACAGTTTGCCGAGCTTCTGGTTTCCGTTCGTCGCTTGGAGACTTTTATGCATCGTCCAGAGACACTAGTCAGGGATAAGTCGAAAATTAGTCCCACCCCAAAGGCGGAGTCCTTGAATGGAGATAGTCCCAAGAGCAATGGCCTCTCGGAGAATCTGATCGAGTTCAGCCAGTTCCAGGCCCGCTGGGAGAGCCATTCAGTGGATCCCACGTTGGAGGACATAAATCTCCAGTTGGGTCGGCATAAGTTGGTTGCCGTTATCGGACCCGTCGGAGCGGGCAAGTCCAGCTTAATCCAAGCTGTGCTCGGCGAGCTGCCGGCGGAAAGTGGTACCCTTAAGATCAATGGCAGTTATTCCTATGCCGCCCAAGAACCTTGGCTTTTTACAGGCACTGTGCGGCAGAATATCCTCTTCGGCTTGGAGTGGGACAAGCATCGCTATCGCACGGTGGTGAAAAAGTGCGCCCTGGAAAGGGATTTTGAACTGTTGCCCTTCGGTGACAAACAATTGTGGGCGAGCGTGGAGCATCTCTCTCCGGCGGACAGAAGGCCGAATCAGTTTGGCTCGAGCGGTGTACCGACGAGCTGACATCTACCTTTTAGATGATCCACTCAGCGCAGTGGACACCCACGTTGGGCGCCACTTATTGATCAGTGCATGCGTGGCTATTTGAGGAGTGAGCTCGTCATCCTGGTCACCCACCAGCTGCAGTTCCTAGAGCAGGCTGACCTGATAGTTATCATGGATAAGGGTCGGATTAGTGCCAAGGGCACATATTCATCGATGAAGCGCAGTGGATTAGACTTTGCCCAACTGCTGACGGCGCCAAATAAGGATAATGAAGATTTTGACGAAGACGGTGGGGCAGGTGGTGAGGGTCTGGCCCTTTTGAATGTGCCCTCGCTGAGCAGGAGGGGCAGCAAGAACAGTAAGCCAAGCTCTCGAAACAACAGCTTCACCTCATTGAGCTCCATGGCGGAGTCAATGGCCCAGGAGGCTTCCCTGCAGCTGCAGGAGACGCGAGTGGAGGGCAAGATCGGTCTGGGACTGTACAAGGAGTACTTGACTGCCGGTAGCAGCTGGTTTATGCTACTCTTCATGGTCTTTCTCTGCCTGACCACTCAGATCCTGTGCTCAGCAGCGGATTACTTCTTGTCGTACTGGTAAGCAAAGGAGAGATCACTTTTTTCTAAAATACAGAATATTAACATTTTTTTACTTTGCAGGGTGGACAAGAACGTGTATGATCAGACGAACATTACTGAGGATCCCCAAGATATGTACTACTTTGCCGCCCTTAATGTTGCCGTAGTGGTCTTCACCATCGTGCGCACCATGCTCTTCTACAAGATGGCTATGAAGAGTTCCACTCAACTACATAATTCCATGTACCAAGGGATTACAAGGGCTGCCATGTACTTCTTCAACACGAATCCCTCGGGACGGATTCTAAATCGGTTTTCCAAGGATCTGGGCCAGCTGGACGAGGTCCTGCCAACAGTTATGCTGGATGTGGTGCAAATTTTCCTCACTCTACTTGGCATTATTATCGTGATTTGCATCACTAATCCGTACTATCTCATTTTAACATTAGCCTTGGCCATTATTTTCTACTACATCAGGAGTTTTACCTGAAGACATCGAGGGATGTGAAAAGATTGGAGGCAGTGGCCAGATCACCCATATACTCTCATCTGAGTGCCACGATTACGGGGTTGCCAACCATTCGAGCTTTGGGAGCTCAAAAGGAACTTATTGCGGAATTTGACAATCTGCAGGATTTGCACAGCTCTGGTTACTACACCTTTTTGGCCACGAACCGTGCCTTTGGTTATTACCTGGACTGCTTCTGCACTTTGTACATTGTGATAATCATCCTCAACTACTTTATAAACCCACCGGAAAGCTCTGGCGAAGTGGGCTTGGCCATCACCCAGGCGATGGGTATGACGGGAATGGTGCAGTGGGGAATGCGCCAGTCGGCGGAGCTGGAGAACACGATGACCGCCGTGGAGCGAGTGGTGGAGTACGATGAGATCGAGCCGGAGGGCGAGTTTGAGTCCCGCCCCGGTAAGAAACCCTCACCGAGTTGGCCTGAAAAGGGTGAGATTATAGCCGAGGATCTGTGTCTGCGCTACTTCCCGGATCCACAAGCCAAGTACGTCCTCAAGGCGCTCAATTTCCGTATCCTGCCACGAGAAAAAGTGGGCATCGTGGGTCGTACTGGAGCTGGCAAATCCTCACTGATCAATGCCCTCTTCCGGTTATCCTACAACGAGGGAATCATCACCATCGACGAAAGGGACACGGCTGATATGGGACTCTTTGACCTGCGCAGCAAGATATCGATTATACCTCAGGAGCCAGTCTTTTCTCGGGTACCATGCGTTACAACTTGGATCCCTTCGAGGAGTACCAGGACGCCAAGCTGTGGGAAGCGTTGGAGGAGGTGAAGCTGAAACCCCTGATTGCCGAGCTTCCCAGTGGACTGCAGAGCAAGATATCCGAGGGAGGCAGTAATTTTAGCGTGGGCCAGCGCCAGTTGGTGTGCCTGGCCAGGGCAATTCTTCGAGAGAATCGTGTCCTCGTGATGGACGAGGCGACGGCCAATGTGGATCCACAAACCGATGCCCTCATTCAGGCCACAATTAGGAGCAAGTTCCGAGACTGCACAGTGCTGACCATAGCCATCGTCTGAACACGATTATGGATTCGGATCGCGTTCTAGTCATGGATGCCGGTCATCTTGTAGAGTTGGTTCACCCTACGAACTTCTGACCTCCTGCGAATCGAAAATTTTCCACGGAATGGTCATGGAAACTGGACAGAATACCTTCGACAGTCTGCTCAAGGTAGCCGAAAAGGTGAGTTTTAAATTATCACCTTCTCTCCTTTAGTTACTTAAATTTATGTATCTTACAGGCCCACTTGGAATCAAAGAAGTCTAAATCAGAGTAGATTAAAGATCTGGTAATTGCTTACCAATAAGGTCTCATTTCCTGGCTGTAAGCGCCTGTAAAGTTGTACCTAATCCAGCCAGCTGCATTTAAGTTAGTTTTCTACTTAAAGTATTACGCCTTCAAACCTTATATATTATAGGACGCAATTCTAATAGATATACTGTAAAAAAAAAACCAGCCCAACGAATGGTAAAATATACAGAGTCTCAGAAAAACTGGGTAGTTTTTCTATAAACATTGTTGAAATAAAAATACTAGAATACACAAAAAGCTTTAAGTGTATAGTACTAGTTAGATGCCATAGATAGGAATATTAACGCCAAATTACCCCATCGCAAAACTAAATAAATAAAAAAATAATTTCAAGGAACCTCGATTTATTACAAGTTTACCACTTACAAGTTTACAATACATACAGATTTTTGATTTTTAAATCAAAAATTCGTAAGACTATTTTAGTAGAAGTTCAGTGAAAACTTTACAAAGTTTTGAACATGCAGACCACAAATTTTTGAAGTTTTGATAATTTATGAGATCAGACCTCGCTTGTGGCAAACATGGGGTTGTCACCCGTTGGTCCCTTGAGTTGGGTTTCTTCGAAGTTTCGTCTCGGGATTGGAGGTCTGATATTCTTAGTTCCGCGGAAGAAAAAGGCGACAGCGGTGTCGCAGACCAAAAGCAGGACGACCGTCAGTTGGGCCAAAACTGCATTGACTACGGATGGGTGGACTGTGGGCCAATTAACATGATGTGGAACAAACACAACGAAGAACAAAACGACGACATTACATATGAGCATTATACTGTAGAAAATGGAGCGCATCTCTTGTCGTCCAAAAGCGCTCAGTGCCCGTAAGCTGGAGAGGATTATCACCAATGGTATTAGCAAATGGATGAGCACTAGATATGGCATCGGTCCGCTGCAGGAATCCGGAAGGAAGAGTCGCGCAGTGTTGGCCAAATAGGTAAAGCTGCTCAACCAATGTCCAGTTCCGAACATTGAGACATAGAAGTACAGTATAATCGATACTGCAAAACGGTAGGACATCCCCAGATGCCTTGGGGGAGTGAGTGGTCCCTCCAGCCTTATATCCACATTATCTTCCTCATCGGCTATAATGCTCTCCTCGTGCACCTCTATTCCCATTTGGTACTCAATGATTAATCCTTGGGCGAAGAGGGATGTGTATGAATCACTCAGAAGGGCATGAACTGTTAGTAAGTTAAAGCGAATCATCTGAAGGCGAGATAGGGGACAGAAACTTCCGCAATATGGTATCGAGGCAAAGGTATAGATCAAGTACATCCAGTGGGCAGCCATGATGTATAAAGGAACCGGCTTGCCCATCTCCCTTAAGTAGATTCCAATTCCTCCAACGATCAGTATTCCTCCATTGCTCAACCACACCTTCCACTTGTGATTCTCGCCAAGGAAAAGGGGACGCAGTATCACCACCAGCATGCTGATTGTCTGTAGAATAACCCGGTATTTGGTAGTCATAAGGATCTGCATTCCCCTCTGGGACCATAGGAACCCGCTTAGCAGGCATACGAGTGCCAGCCAGGCCAGGAACTTTGCCGTAGGATGGAACCAGGCACGTTGGTTGTAGATGCTGACACATATAATGTAGGCCAGGCTGAAGGGACAGCTGCAGTGGAGGGCCACAATGATCCCTGCTGCGGGGACTATTATCCATCTTAGATGCTTGAGCGGTTTAAAATCCAGCCACCCTTCAGGGGCAACTCGGCAATGGTCAAAGTCCAGATGCCAAAGGGCACCACCAAGCACATGACCGTCCAAAATGAAGCCCACCGTAGGAAGACCACCTCGCCCAGCAGAAGTCCAAGGGAGCCCTGTACAATGGTGAACCATGTGAGGAAGCCCCTGCGTTTCTCCTTGGAATCCCAAGATTTCCTTGACAGCCTCAACAAAAGGAAGAATTGCCAGCCCAGAAGAGCCAGCACCGTCGTGACCACCAGTGGAATGTGGTAATATCCATAGTAATACTTTAAGGACTTCTGAGCCACTTTAATAGCCAGCATGCTCGTCTGCACCGCCTTGCTTCGCCAACCCATATCCATAAGTCGATCCATCTGGTTCTGATAGTAGGCAATCCTTTGAAGATCCAGATCCTTGGTTGTCGGAAGCCAACTATTCAAAACTGCCTGTTCGTGACGTCTTATAATAGCCTTGGCTTGAGCCAGAAGTTGCAGTGCATTCAGGTGAATTGCTTTTCTCTTGTATTCCCGGGATACCTTCATATAGCCCAGTGGCAACGTGGCCAGATTATTAACCGGTGGTGGCAAACCAATCAAGGCAGACATCAGAGGAGCCAACTGAATCTGGTCCAAATTGTGGAGCTGCATGGTAACGTTATTGCCAACCACAAATTTAAGGTGGCATTATTGGTCGTGTGATTGATACCGGCTCCCCAAAGAAAGAAGGGAGTATCCCTCTCTTCATCCGAACCGCCACCATGAGAACCTAAACCCCAAGATAATACCATTTTCAGAAGATATACATATAATACCCGATTTAATACTCACCCAAATGCTAAGGCCGTGGGCGGAGGTTAACAGGTAAGCAGTTCTATAGTCCTTAAAGGAGTTCTCGATCAGTTCATAGGCATCTCGGATGTTTCGCTGGGCATTGTGGAGCTTTTTCAAATAGGCCTTATCAATAGGACTAGCTCCACCGACGTCTTCCAGATGTACGAACACCACCAGCCTAGTTGAGTTCTGCAACTTTTTCAAGCAAGCAGCATTCATCAGGCGTACGCGAAGATCTGCTAGGTCCGAGACCTTAAGAACAGTTCCCTCTTTGGAGGACAAGGTGCGATTGAAAATCGAATCATATTTCTCCGCTGACAGTAGCGATGGCATCTCATTGAATCCGGCGAACAAGGCCACTTCCGCAGATCGGGTCAGAGTAGGAACACTAGTTTTGGATATGCCCACAAGACCCTCGCGCAGGATTATATCCCGCAAGTAGGAAGACCGACTAAGGTTGGGCGAGAAGAACGTGTCCGCGTTCAAGCCTTCGAGAAGAAATACCACCAGGCGATCTGCGGCTGCAGGAACCCCCATCTCTGGTAAAGTCTTTTGCGGTTCCAGCTGATCCTGCGGTCCGGGCTGATAGTATATGCCCAATAGGCACGCCATCAGCAGAAGGTGCACCAGCACCACCTGCGCTTTCCACATCTCCATCAGATTTTTTAGTTTTCCCACCAAGCGATTTGTAAGGCGACGATACAACAGGAACGACACATTGACGACAACTGAACAGAAGCACCATAGAAACGTTTGAAGGAGCGCCAACTTCATCTCTGAAATATTCAGAAGTGTTCTCAATAAAAAAAAACGTTCCTGAGTTCTGAAAGTGAACTATATTTGCTAAAAGAAATCAATCTGTGGTATTCTGATTTCACTGAATTGTAATTTTAATGTGCTTAAATAATAATAATAATAAAATTTCAAAAAATTTTAAATAATAATAGACCTAATAAAATATTTTTTTAAATTTGACAAATTTTATATTAGAAACTAGATTACTATAAGTAGTAAATATAAACATTAAAATATATAAAAAAAAAATTGTAGCATTGCTTTCCGATTCTGTGTCATAGCAACCTTTGTAAATGTGAAAAGAAATTTTAAAGGAATTGAAGGAATTCTACATTTGAAATAATGTTGGAATCATATCAGAGTTTTGCGCTGTTCCAGCTGCTTCTGCTGGTCTCAGTGGTGATCATTTACCTTCGATCGACATCTTCGGGCAGCTTGGAACCGCAGAAAATGGAGCCGTTGAAGGAGCCTCCGCCGGCCGATCGCCTCGTCGTTTTTGTGAGGGACGGCCTCTCTGCTCAGACTTTCTTGGGCAACCGATGCAGAAATGTGCCCCTGCTGCGGGAACTATTCCTGCATCAGGGTATAGTGGGTATCAGTCGGCCAGAGATACCACATATCACCCGATATCCCCCTATATTTCCTTATTTTGCGGCTTTAACGAGGATGCGGCTAGGGTGGCCCGTGGCTGGATGCGAGGTCCAGCCCCTATTGACTCAATATTTGATCGGTCAAACTCAGTTTTGCATGGACCACGGCGGAACTACTTTTACGCTTTCCCAAAATCAAAGACCCATGCCAATGAGGCTCCAAACCTATGATGCAGACGTTACAAAATCCTGCTCCGAACTGGAAGATGCCGTCTGTCGGTCAGTTAAAAGTTTCTGTCCGGTGAATCCCGTCATTTTCTGAACTCCACTGAAGTCGTATTCTTTATACATATGACCGGAGTGGAACCATCCTGTGAAAGCCTTCAGCGGATTCAAGAAAATGTGTGGAAGCTCTACGAGAGTTTTGAGAAATCTTTTCCCGACCAAAGAACGGCTTACTTGTTTACTTCCAATCTTGGGGATCCAAAAACGCAAAGTAAGCATTCAATTGCAGGTAATTCATAGGTAATAACTATAATACCCATTCATATATTCTTGAATATTTGCTTTCAGGCTATTGCAGTCTGGCAGTTGAATCTCCTTTCTTTCTTTGGGGTTCTGGAGTTGCTCATATTAAATCCATGCCAGGACGTAGCTTTTCGGCCAATGATACGGGTTATAGGCTGCCCCTGCATGTTCTTAATCCTCCTCATCTCACAGCTCTTATGAGTGCCCTGCTGGGAGTCCCACCTCCAGTCAACAGTCGTGGAATGTTGCCCAGGGGAATGCTCAACACCAGTCTGCGCTACGAGGCCAATGCCATGTTGACCAATGCCAAGCAGCTCCTGGCTCAGCTCGTCGATTGAGGGAGCACCATCCCAAACAGATTCCGGCCTTCTGGCTTAACTTTCAGATGATGGATAGATTCTTAAAGGACGCTTTGGCTCTTAAGGAGCAGCATCGCTTCAAGGCTCTTCTGGAATACAGCTGCAATTTTATGCCCGTGCTGGTCAAGGGAATGGACTACTTCAAGAATTACTATAGAAAAGTTTTAGTTATAGCAGTGAGCTTTGCTGAAATCGGTTGGATATATTGCCTGCGTTGTCATCTGTCGGCTGGAAGAAAGAGCAGGAACCAATTGGATATCCAAGAAGTAACATTATCCAAAAACGTAGTTTTCGTCAGAGGATTTCACCGATTGTTTACTGGTCTGCTGGTGATTTTTATGATGCTCGAAAGGATTCCGTTGATGGTGCAGGCAGTGCTACTAACGCCTTCCCTCTACTGGAAGGTGACACTTAAGATTGTGAGCGAGAGACCCAAAATGGTTTGCCGGAAAAGTTTGATTTCCTCTGCTTTGCTAATAGTTATTTGCTTGGGTGCCTTTTACAGACGTTACATTCTGGCAGTGGGCTACTTGGGATTCGCAGGCTATAACAACAGAGAAGCCTTCCGGAAACGGGGATTGCAGTTCTACCTGTGGCTACTGCTGCTCCTTGGACTCACCGGTGTATCTGCACTACCAGAATCGCTGGGTTGCTCGCAACCCCAAGCTCTCATGTTTAGCATCCTGCTAACAGTTCTACGTCCCTTGGCCTGTGGGGTGTATCTAAATCTCCTTACCTGGCTGAGCAATATCCTCGTTCTCCTTGTTGCCTGCGAGTACATCCTGGTCGGCTGGCATCCCTGGACCACATATATGGTGTCCTGGATTTATTTGATCTACCTGGCCATCTGGAATCGACGAAGTCTTCAGGCCAGCGAGCTGGTCTTCTTTAACCTGAGCACCCTGTACACCCTCATCTGCACCTCCTACGAATCGGTGGTCATCCAAATGCTGGCCATGGAACTGCAACTGGCTCTGCGTATGAAGCTGGAGAGGAACGAAAGCATTGGGCCGAAGACAGCTGCCCATTATATATTAGTGTACAGCTGGTACTCCCTCTTCGTCATTGGTAGCTTTCCTGCTTTCGATGACTTCCTGGATATCCTGCACGAAACCTGCTTTGGATATTCATCACTGACCTATGGCCTGGTTATGGTAATGAAGTTGCTTCTTCCCTGGCTGCTTGTACTCTGCATCCTGGCGGGAAACTACAGAAATCTGGCCTCGCACGAGCGCCAAATCTTTGTGAGGCTGCTGCTCATGAGCAGTGCCATGTCTCTGGTGCTTTTGCATAGGGTCATCAGCGTGGGTCCCTGGAGGGAAATTCTCACCAGATTCGCTGAATTTGCGGTGGTCCAGGTGTTTCCACTGCTCTGGCTGCTTTTGTGGCGATTGGCGCAGTTCAAAGTGGGATCCAAGTGGATGTCCCAGCTTCCAGAATGAGTTACTGTTCCTTATGTACACAAGTTCTAGTTTTTAAATAAGCGCCTTACAAAATAACAAGAACAAGAAAATTCTCTTCGAAATATAATATTTTTAAAACAGCATAATGTTATTATTTTATATTTATTAGCTCATATTATAATGCGGGGTCATACACTGATGGTGCGGAAAATGTTAAGGCCACTGTGGGCTGTAGAGAGCAGTACTCCTGGCAGTTGAGCATGCCAGTGTAGCTCTTTGATCTCCTTCTGGCCCTGGTGAATAAAAAGCAGCTGGGGTGGTAACTTGCTAAGCTCATTTTCGTTCTGGGCCGGGTCCTGCACCTGATCAGTGTCTTTCTCAACAGATAAGTCCCACAAGGCAATTTGGTCGTCGTCGCCGCCAGAGGCCAGGACGGTAGCCTCGCTGGGACTCCACTCTACAGTGGTTATGTGGTCCGTGTGGTGTTTAAAAGTGGCAATGGGCTTTTCGGACTGAAACTGTCGAAGGTCCCAAATATGCAGGCAGCCGTCATCACCGCCACTGGCGATAAAAGGCTCAGTGCGGTTCCACGAAATTACGTTCACATCGCTCTCATGGGCGTCCCGGCAAGTCAGCATGCAGGCCTTCTGCGGCGCCGCTCGGCAGTCCCAAATGCGGATAGTCCTGTCCACCGAGCAAGACGCGAGCACGCTGCGCTCGTTCGGGCTCCATTGCAGATCTTCAACCGACTGCGTGTGACCCGCCAGCGGGCGTTGGTCCACCTTCCAGGTGCCGTCCTCCAGGGGACTCCACACGTGGATGTCCCGCCGACAGTCGCCTGTGGCCAGCACACCGTCCGCACTGGGACTCCAGTCCACCGCGAAACCCTCCTGCTGGTGGCCACCGAATGTAAACACCGGGCGGGCCTCATTCTGTTCGTACTGCTTGAGCAGCTGACCATCCTCCACGGCCTGCAGAGGTTGGGTCAGGTTCCAGATGTTCACGCGGCCTAGCTCGCTCCAAGAGGCGGCGTACACAGTGTTGCCCAAGCGTCGGGCACGAACGCGATTGACGCATCCTTGGTGCTTGATCAGGGCACAGGTCATCTGCGGTTTTTTAAGGTCTTCGCGGTCGGACACATCGTCCTGATCGTCCTCCAACTCCTCGTCGTCGTCGTCATCTTCCTGCGTCTTGTGCATGTTGCTCATCTTCATTACAATAATGTTGTTTACGTGGGTACGAGAAGCTTGAGTGCCAGCCACTATATAAGCTGTCATCGGGAAGGACTGCCGCCCTGTGCCCAGCTCGTCGGGGATGACATCAAAGCTTAGACACGGAGCTCCCGTGGAAGCCTGATGCAGCATCAGGTATGCACTCTCGTCGCAGACGAGTTCCTCGTCCGCGGCCAGCTTATTACCGGGTAAATATACCTCTTTTGACATCGTAGGTTCGGCGTTATCGTCATCCGAATCCGATTCACTTTCCCCGTCCACAGGCTCAACCAGCTCCATTTCCGTATCGTCCATATCGTTTATCGTTTACCGTCTTTTTTGGTTCTCAAAAGATTGAGCTCTTGGTCGCAATACTGGTGAATTTAATTGCTTTTAATATGCGCTTAATGCCGCACGTGTATCGCAATTTACACTTTAGAGAGACCGTACTTACGGTTTAAATAAATGACAAGTGCTTCAAATGACCGTCGATGACTTAGGCCCCGTTTCCATTATGAAAAGTGTGAAAAATGGAAGAAGGTAATTTGTTGCACTTTATTTATTAACCAATTCTTATTGAATCGTTCTCTTCAAAAGAAATGTAGTTCATGGCAAAGTCTATAAGTCCCTATGTTTTACAAAATACCGCCTTTGCCAATTAAAAAACGATAGTTATAGCGGGAAAATAGCTAAATTGGCCACACTCCCAGCGATGCCACCTTGTCAGTGGCCCCCCAAATATCGATAACGGCAAGGGCCATCCCAAGCTCGCTCTCCCTTATTTTGCATAGAAAATAAACAAAAAGCTCTGCGGAAATTATGTTTTCACAATAAAATCCAACACATTTGTGCTGGCGCAAGTGTGTGCTGGAAAGTCCCATCAAAAATTAACCCGAAAACGTCGTGAAATATAAGTTATTTCTATTGCGCATTCCACGGAAGCAACAATACCAGCAGAGGCAGCAGCAGCAACAACAACAGCGAGAACAGCATAGCAAAAGGTGAGGCAAAAAGTTTACATGTGAATGTGGGGGCGGGCGGTGTAGGAACGGTTCACTGTTAATAACAACAATTGCCCTGTATTGTGCACACACACACACAAACGCCTTGCTTTACTCATTTTGGAGCGCGTAGGCAAAATGGCAGCCCAATTGTCAGTTAAGAAATGAATGGGCTAAAATAGTTAAGTCTCCAACTCGCCTCACACCGAACCCCACCACCCACCGCCAACCGCCCACCCACTGAGGTGACGCGCCGCCGCCGAGGTTTGCGATCTTGTTTTTATATCACTCGGTGGAGCGGGGGTAGATAAGGGTGCTCCTTCTCGTTCCGTCCCTCGATCGGTAGGCCTCGAAGGTCGCTATTTGTCGGATATATCGCTGTCTTTGCCAAATTGCATTCGTGTACGTGCACTGCTTTTGCATCGCTCATTTTGCACCCTATTTTACAGGGGATATGATAGTTTTCAACGAATTACAATACCTTATTCTTTAAAAATATTAGTTTTTCTAATGGTGTTTGGGCAGATCCTAAAAACTGATCCTATCAGCATGGTATTCTTTTCTAATCTTAAGTAACTAGTTTTATTAATGTTATAATGAATTACCTAAATTCATTTGAAATTTAATTTTACTCGACAATTATGAGAGTAAAATGTATAGTATGGTTTGTTTTGGCAATTGTATTTTTTTTTGTATTGAAAAGTTGACCCTAAGACGAGGTCAAGATTCGGTTTAGATTTAAGATGCAACCTGTTATTATATTCATTATTATGCTTTGATAAAAGCTGAGATATACGAAACGATCTTTTTCCGAACCCTACACAATATAAGGGTATTCCAAATCTCGGTTCCCCAAATATGTACCCCTGATTTCTGGCTTCTTTTGTCTTGATATTGCATTTATTCAGCCACTTGTTCTGGCGCAGACACAGTTGCCTCAATTAGTTGTTGTTTTTGTGGCTGCCTCTGAAGTGAAGTGAGTTGCTCATTAAGCCAACTCGAGCATCCGGCGATGCAAGTGGAAATAGAAGTGCCACCGGCGACGGCCCGTGTCCCATTGTCATTAGACATGGGAGAATCGAGTGGATGGTAGAACTTTCACTGTCCCATTCCGAGTGCCACCGTCGACTGATGAGTAATTACCGCGTTCCAGCGATTATGTCCGATTAGGGACCAATCAACAGCTGTTTACGCTCGTCTTCGCTGTAATATTGCCAAGTGAACGAATTAGATTTCCGTTCAGTTGGTGGACAATGCCTTTTCTGTATCTTTCGCAGCTGAGCTGTAGCCTCAGCCGACTGGAACTGCTCCATGAAGATGAGGTGCGACCCTGAGCCCATCATATTTCATGGTCAATTAGTAGTTATCACTACGAAATAGCCTAAATTTACGTTAACCAACTTTTCATACTGATAACGATAACGGTGCGAGATTGCCGAAAAAATAATGTGGGGCATCAAAAAAATTAATTTCCCCCAGCGAGGCAGAGAAATAGTGCACTTAATTGCGCACTTGTTGTTATCCAAGTACAGAGAGGCTCTCCCCCGACTATTTATCTATATCTGTGCTCTGTACCAGGGAATTTGCATATACAATTAGTGGGTGCTGTTAGTGGGCGTACATACAAACTGATCGTGTAACGATTTGTGTTTTCAGTTCACTGTTGCTTGCCCCGGAGAGCTGGCTTTGGCGATGGCCACGGCACCGCGATCCCTGGACACCATCTCCCTCTGCTCGACCGTCTCCAGCTGCCCGGACCGAAATGGCTTCTACGGCGGATTCCAGCGTACCGACAAGCCCAAGGAGCCGCTGTCCAAGGCACAGATCATCGCGCGGGAGAAGAAGTGGCTCTACATGATCGAAAACTGGTCCATTTACATGTCAAAAAACTACAAAAAGGTGAGCACAGAGAACGGCAATAATCTCTGCGTAATTTAAGAAATTCTCAATATCCATTTAAAGAACGGCGAGCTTTTTCTCATACGGAATATAGTATTCAATGTAGGGCTCTTAAACCAAATTATCCGTAATGTTCATCTAGAAAATCATTTACGTATTATATTTTATATCCACCTATTAACTCATTTCTATTTTTATCTTGCAGATCCGAGATCGCTGTCGCAAGGGTATTCCCAAGTCGGTGCGGCCCAAGGCCTGGTTCTATTTATCGGGGGCGTATTTGCTGAAAAAAAAGAACCCCAACGTATACCATGAGCTGCTGGAGAAGCCTGGAAACCCGTCGACCATCGAAGAGATCAAGAAAGACAAACATCGCCAGTTTCCGTTCCACGAAATGTTTCTCGACGAGGAGAAGGTCGGACAGATCGAACTCTTTAATGTGCTAAAGGCTTACTCGATATACAATCCCAAAGTGGGATTCTGCCAGGCGCAGGCACCGATAGCCGCTTTCCTATTGATGCATCTGCCCGCGGAGGACGCCTTTTGGGTATTCGTCAGCGTGTGCGATGTGTAAGTTCAGTTTAAAGTCATATTATTTAATAATTTGAGTATTTATATGGTGTATTCTTGCAGTTATCTGCAGGACTATTTCATACCCGGTTTGGAGGTCATCCAGAACGATGCAGGCATCATGGAGGGCCTGCTAAAGAAGACGTGCCCACCCGTTTACCGGCACTTGCAAAAGCACAAAGTGGAGCCGCTGCTCTACATGACCGACTGGTTCCTGTGTGCCATGACGCGCACTCTGCCCTGGGAGACGCTGTTCGGGTGTGGGACTGTTTCCTAGCCGAAGGAATCCGAGTTATCTTCAAGGTGGCCCTGGTCATCATCGGAGCTTCGCTCAGCCGGCACAAGGTGCGAAAAACGTGCACTGGCCTCTGCGAGACGTTGGCTGTGCTGCGGTCTCCCGAAGAGCACATTGTAGAGGAGGAGTTCATTATTAACAATATGATGCGACTGAACCTGCGCGTCGAGGACTTCCAGATCGAGCACACACGCCAAAAAGCTCGACGAGCCAAACAGAAGGCGCAGCAGGAGGCGGAGTCCAGTGGTTCCAACAACGGTCATCGACGCAACATGCCAACGCTGTGAGGGATCGCAACTACTACTACTTCAACAAATTGTTACTAAACACACAAACAACACACACCATGCATGGTTGCATAAGATTTGTACGTTTAAAGTCGAATAGGAGGCAGGTCGAGCACAAAGTGGACGGGAGAGGAGTGACCGCGAGCTGGTTCAGTCAGTTGGTCAGTCAATTACGGAGACATCATTCCATGCAATCAGTTTGCCTAATTTTAAGACAACTCTTTTGTTGAGCACATTCGGGCTGGACTTGTATCGGTATTTGTTTTCGTATTATTCATTTAGTGGCAATTATTACGAGCGTGCAATTTGTTTATGCTTTTCAAAAGTATTTATTACATATTTATTATTATCGTGTAACATTAAAAATTTAGCGTTAGCGTTGAGTTGAGGACCCCGAACATATCGTATGATTATTATCACCACCCCAAGGCAGCTGACACAAGGACTGGAGGATTTTATAGTTTGAAATTTGTACTACTTTATCCGTATTCACTCTGAGACGAAAATGTTGATATTTACCTACGATAATGCGTTACGAACGACTTCTGTTGTGCCCCGAGCCTAAAAAGTTTGGAGACCGTTTTGTGACTGGTTTTTAGGCAGAAATAATAGTAAACTTTAATACTAATAAAACAAAATATACCGAAATATTAACAAAAAACAGTTGTTTTTATTTTTGATAAAAAAATGTCACCCATTCCAAGAAAACAATATGCAGTTGTTGTAGAATTAAATGTCTTATTTATTAACATTAATTAAACAGAGGCTTAGCTGCTCATGTGCAGAGACCAACTTCGTGACTAAATCCTGATTAGCCAAAAAAGCCGGTTCAATGTATAAAAAACCAACTCTCTAACTGAAATCGTACAAATATAATTATAATTTCTTTATTATAGTTTTGATAATATCAGTTAATTTTAATTGAGATTAGGCTGGGAAATAAATAGCTTGAGTACTTACAGCTAATAATTAAAAGGATATCCTACAGATAAACTATAGCTAAAAGGGCAAATCATGAGATAGGCTGCTTATGGGTAAATTGTAAGAATACTTCTCTTAATCTCATGGGAAGCCTTAGGGGCGACTATCAGTATTGGGCTACCATTGGAAGTACACGTGTTGTGAAAATGGATAAGGTTAGTTCATTTGTATGATAAAAAAATTGGTAATCTAAGGGCAATCCGCAATCTATGTTAAATTCGCAGAATTTTCGTCTTGATTCCATAGATTTTTACACTAGACTATGAAAGATTTAAAGCATTTTAAATTAAAGATGACACTAATCACGAATTGGCAAGAAGTGCAATAGACAAGATCTTTCTACAGAACTTTACAATTTTTAAATGAATTCGGTTTGAGTTTTGGCACTTTTTCCTGCAAAAGGTAGACAAATTGATTATATGTTTTTTAGCGATACATATGAAGTAGCTTTTTAATGTCAACCCTTGAATATTTCTACAAATCGAATTCGGGAAACTTATTTAAAATTTACATGTGTTAATTGCGGAGATAGTTGTTTTCTTTAGAATTTTGATTCTACATCACAAAAACTATAATATTCAGAAATATTACACGTTAAAATAAAATGACGCTTAAGGTACTCTCATCAAGCTAGCAACAGAAAGGTTTTTAAAAAGGACAGGATTAGTACTAGTTTTGAAAACATTTTTTTCATGGCCTTTTATAATCTGAATCTCAATTTTTAAGACGAAATTCCTTGCTACAATCGAAAGCTTAAATTCTGCCCTTAGGATCTTTTGTCGAATAAAACGAAAAATTCTTATGAGGTGATCCTAGCCCAGCAGATACTGGTCCTCGAATTCCACGTCGTCTCCATCGTCCAATAAATGCGGCGGCAACGGCATATACGGCCCTGAATCTTGAGTAGCCTGGTTTTTCCCGTTTCGGTCAGTTCCGTGGCCTCCTCCTGTTCTTTCTCCTCAATGGCGATTTGCTCACGGAGTAATATCATCTCATTTTCGCCCACCACAGTATGGTGCTTACGAAGGTGCTGCTGCAGCTCTCGAAGACTGTGCAACTCTCCAGCCGCTGCCGCGCCCGCCTCCCCGCTCTGCTTACACAGTTTGCAACGGATGTAGGCCGGGTGGGGAAGGTGCTGGAATCGATGGAACTGTAGCACCCACTGTCGATTTGTCTGCAGCTCCTCGTCACAGTCCTGGCATCGATAAAGGTTCTCGCCAACTTTGTTCATGTGCAAAAGGTCCAGCTTGGCAAGACCGTGGTAATCGTTGATGTGCTCACGCCACTCCTTCTTGTTGCTGGTTGTGAAGTTGTCCCCGCACTGCGGACACGCCAGGTGATAGATGGACCGCAGCTGGTGTCCTGCTCCGCTTCATCGTCATCCAATTCTCGGTGCGGACGATTATCACATCGATTGGTGTCACGATTAAGATGCTTGAAGAACATTTGCTTGCGAACAAACTCACCGTCGCAAGTCAAGCACTTGAACGATCGATGCGGCAAATGGCGGAACTTGTGCGACTGCAGCTGCCCGATGGCGCCCTTGGTGTGGGTCACGGTCACCCGCTTGTAGCACTCCAGGCACAGGTAGTGATGGTTATCGATTTGCCGGAAGTTAAGTCCCTCGCGGCTGTTAAAGTTGTGCTGCTCCACGATGTGTTTGCGCCAGAAGGCATGGAGTCAAAGTTCTGATTACACTTGGGGCAGAAGTACGTGATGAAGTCCAAGTCCACGGCATTGTGGTACGAGATGCTGTCCTCCAGCGTGTTGAGACCAGCGGGTCGGGTTGGTAAGCCACCAGGCTGTGGTTTCAGGGAACGACTGATCGCCGAGGAAGCAGCAGAGGAGGAGCATCCCGGTGGAGAGGGAGCTGCCGGAGGTGGAGTGGCATCTGGGCTTCTCCCTACTGTTATCCTTGTAGCGGCCGTATACGTGCTTCGGTTTGGTGATCATCGCCGGAGTCTCCCTGTCGTAGATGGCGTGACGGGCCCTCAAATGCGCAGCTATGTTCGGCTTGTGATTGTAACAGGTGCCGCAGATCAGGCACTTGAGATACAATCGGTACGGAAGATGGCGGAAGTGATGGTCCTGCAAGCCCTTCAGCTTCGAATTGGCCACAATATCCTTGCACTGGGTGCACTGGTAGCGGAATTTATCCAACTGCCGCATGTTTAAGTATTGGCGCTTGTCAAAGTTGTGCACTTCGTTTATGTGACGGCGCCACTCGTACTGGGTCTTGTACTCCATGCCGCAGGAGGGGCACAGGAAGATGTAGTTTTGTTCCACGGTGGGAACGGATGGGTCCATTACTCGAGAGTTCATCATTGACTGTCGACGCCTTTTGAGAACCGTTTTCCTGCAACGGGTTTCGATGAGGTGAGCCCGGACAGCCGCCGTTGTGGGGAAGAGTGCGGAGCAGTGAACGCACTTATAGCGATGATTATTACTTTGCGACGTTGGCGGTGGTGGTGGAGGCGGCGCAATTGGGAAATCCTCCTCATCCGCCTGCATCTGTTCGCCAAAGTCGTTCTCCTCCTCCATGCTGCCTTGCTCAACGTCGTCCAGGTAGATGATCTCGTACGTTTCATTCGCTACCGTTACGATCTGCTTGCGCGGCTGCTTGGCGGGCGTGAGAATCGGAGCTGGTGGCCCAGGTCCTCCCGGCTTTTGGGGCCAGCCAACGCGATGATAGGTAGCCAAATGCTTTACGAGACCCTTCCTGTCCGTGTAGGACTTGTGGCACTTGCGACACCTGGCGTACGCCTTGAATGGAAGATGCGTGATCCTGTGCTGCTGTGCATTCTGGATTCCATAAGCATTGGTGATGATCTTGTCACACTCAGTGCACTTCAGCTGCCGTTCGTTGATCATCTCGAAATTCAGCTTGGTCAGATCGTTCATGTTGTGGGCCATGACCACGTGGGCGCGCCAGTGCTTCTTCTCGATGAACTCTTTGCCGCACTGCGGACAGAGATAGTCGATGTGAGGCTCGAAAATGTCGTCGCTGCTGATGCGACCGCCGCGTCTGGGTGAGTCCTCAAAGTAGGGTGAGTCTTCGTCTAAGGGGGCACCATTTCCCTCGCCGTTTCCAGTATCCTCGACGCATTCATCTTCCGTATTATGGCCACTGGAGCATCGGCTTCTTCCTCGGCCTCCTCGGGCATCAGCGTGTTCATATGGTGGTGCTGCAGTAGATGTCTGATCACTTCCTGATGATCCGTGTAGCCCTTGTAGCACAGTTTACAGCGCAACCACTCAGGTTGCGACAATGGCTAAATTTGTGGGCGCGCAGCGATTTAATGGTGTTGGGAGTCACAATCTTCAAGACGAGAGAGGGGATAAGTAAAAATTCAGTAGGGTGGGCTAAGGCAAAAGATTTCTCACCTTTTTGCACTCCAGACACTGCATCTGCATGTCCACGCTCCGAAAATTAAGTCCCCGCCGACTGACATAGTCGTGGACGAACTCGATGTGCTGGCTCCACTGGGCGTGGGTGTCGCACTCTGTGCCGCAGTCGGGACACATGTAGTGTATGTAGTCCTCGCACAGTTCGGCCGCTCCTCGACTGCCAGTCGATTTTTCTTGGAAACCTCCTCCGGTAAAGGCCGTTCCAGGGGACCGACCTCATCGCCATCCGGCTCGAGCAGCTCATTTCGCACCTCGATGCGATCTAGGTCCTCCTCGAAGTCATTATTCTCTCGGAAACTCTTCTCCCGCTGCAATGCTCGGTGCGCGATTCACGAACCCGTGTCTTGCGTCCCGCAGCATTGTAACCCTCCCGCATCATGGCCACTACTTCGTCGCAGTGGACCATGCGCAGGTGCACCATTAGGTCTTGCCTTTAATGGATAATCACATTTAAAAGGAGTCCCTGAACTGGACATTCTGAGCATTACCTGTATTTGTACTCCCGCTTGCAGATGTAGCACTTAGTGCACCTGAATGGCAGGTGCGTGAACTTGTGCTTCAGCAAGTTTTCCCGGCTGTGCATGGCGATCCGCTTGTTGCACTCCCTGCAGCGCTGATAGAGCTTGTCCAGCGGCGTGAAATTCAGCCCGCGCAGGGTGTTGTACTTGTGGATGTGGTTCATATGCCGCTTCCAGTGGTCCTGTTGCCGGAACTCTCCTCCGCAGGCGGGGCATATGTAGACCACGCCCAGTTCGTAGTTGATGAGCACACCGTTCTCATCCGTGGCATTGATCTGAGAGGTGGTGGGGCGTACGGAGGGTCCAGGACCAATTCTGGGACGACCCACAGTGCCGGGAAACGAGTGGCGCTGCATTGGGGGACGCAATTGCTGGCCCATTGGACCAGCAGGAGCCAGAACCGGATGCTGTGGCTCTGCCATGCTCACAATGGGTTCCATTTCGAAGTCAAAGAGGGCATCGTCGTCGGGATCGGGTTGCTTTGGTCCCCTGGAGGCAGCATTCCCATAGTCCTCCTCCTCCTCCTCCTCCCTTTCGTCATCTTCGCCATCCAGCAGGTCATCAATGGCATCGCCTGCTAGGATCTCCGAATCGCCTATGAAGTCATCATTGCCATTGTATTGCTCGCTGTCCTCCAGTTCCGCCTCCGGCTCACCCTCCTCGAAATCCGAGGAGAACATCGACGTCCACAGATCCATGCCCTCCATTTTTGGCCAGCGAAGAGGTTTTTGTGCGACAGCTTGCGTCTTCAACGGGCTCTTCGGTGTGTGAGTGCGTGTGCGTGAGAACTAGTTTTCGTATCCTATGCCACAATTGGCCAAAAAGACAACTGCCTGGTTTTTAACTGTCGGTGGCTCTTTACGGGTATTCCGGACACCAGCTTCCATCTTTACCGTTGCTGCATTCGCGCACTCGTCACTTTGTCTGTTTGCGTCCACTTTTGGCCCCTGGGGCATCGGAAATATAGCAAAAATTACAACTTTTACTAGTCTGCAAAAATCAGAGCCATTTTGTTTGCGGCGTCGCGGAGTCACAGGCCGCGAATAAGCTGTGACGGCGCGACGCAGCGTTGCCAGACCTCGGTAGTGGAAATCGATATTCAATAATCGATAACAATCGATTGCTTAACGGTTTTTTAATTGAAAGACCGCGAAAAATTAATTTCTTCTAATCTTAATCAATATCAATCGATTTAGATTTAGAAAAAAGCAATTCAACAATTTGCATCTTCAAACTACGCAAAATTAACATAAATTTCTAATCTTTAACAAACTCAAGCTAAGACTGGATTTAACTAAGTTTTTTTAGCGACAATCTAAATATTCGTTGAATTGTAATCATATATTTCCATTATTCCACCTCAAGACATTGCAAAATACGTCTAAAAATATCTTCCAAATCAATTCCCTAAATCCATTTTGAGATCAACGATCTTTCCGCCAATAACCAAATTAATCCAAATGCAAAGTTATGTACGAAAGGTTTTTATTGAACAAAGATTCGCGCTTGAATTTTGTATTTTTACACTTAATTAGTACGTGCACATTAGTACGTGCAAGGCGTACCGTTTAAATTACACATTTAATGTAATGTAATACAATGTTTATTATGTATGTGTTTACGTGAGTGTTCGTGTGAATGCGGTTGGTATAAATATAAATATAGATGTGGCGTGTAGTATGCAACTAGAATTAAATCGAAAGTCCAAGTGTGATTGAAGGACCCCATCCGGCCGCCTCCGCTGGCATCCTGCTTCCCTCTCCCTCACACACACGTACGCACTGATGATAATGTAGGTGTCATAGGTTCCCAACCGGAATATCATGATATATAATAATACGCAGGTGCCGCGGGGCGCGGATCGGATGCTTCAACGTGGTCGTAGTTTGTGGGGCCAACAGGCTACAGGCTACACGCGTTTCATGGAAATATTACACGAACTAAGGAATTTAAATTACAGATTTGCAATGGGGTGGTGGTGGTGGTGGTTGTATGGTGGTTGGTAGTGATAGGTAGAGTGCGCCGCCGCCTAAATGTGGTTCGATTAATTCTCGTCTGGGTGTACAGCAGCGATGCTTCAGATCGTTGAGCAATTGTAAATCTCTCGCTTAAATATTCGTTGGCCATCCTCCTCCGATCTGCCATTTGATTTTCCGAGCTGTTCTCCGTGGATACGGGTAGGGTTATGCGTAATATAATATGGGTAGTATGATTTCTTTTTTTTGCTTCTTTTGTTGATTTTTTCTTATGGTGTCTCTTCCCGCCAACGGGCCCCTCCTCCTCCATTGCTTGTGCTGGGATCTGAGCAACTGCCGTTGTCATTACCAGAGTCCCGACGAGTAGCCGCCTGGGGGAATACGATTCTTGTTGATCACCGGAGTGCCGCCATTGGACGACTCCTGGCGCTGGTGGAAGTCGTTGGCTCCAGCCTTGTAGCCCTCGCCGGTGACAGGATTGCCCTCTGTGGAAATAATAGAAATTAAGATAAGTAAAGGGTAAAAAATATTAAGCTTTATAATAAAACGTCTAAAATTATAAGAAATTTAAATGACTGTATGTGGGTTTTTAAGCAGGGATCTTACGATTATATTTATATCGTTAAGCGAGATAAATATACTTAGGGGACTGGCTAAACTGGTTGGATTGGGAATTTTTTGTAGGTTTAGGAAGCTGCAACCAGAACCAAACGCCCACCTCGGATCTTGAGCTTCTTGGGCTTGAGACCGCCTACACCATCTCCATTCAGACCAAGACCTGTGATTGGATTGCGAGAATCGAGCTTGGAGCACTCCTGATGATCTTCCTTGATCTCATTGGGGCATAGCCCAAGGGGCTCCTTCAAATCCGGAACGGCTGCCATCTTGTTCAGCGAATAAGCCTGATCGGGACTATTTCCGAAATCACGTCGAGTTTGACTGGCTTCGTCGACTTGATCGGACTTGGTTAAGGTGTTAGTATCTGCTGGCACGTCCCCAATTTTGCTATCTCGGCAAGAATTGTCTATGGACAGGCGTCAGCCGGTGGGATGGGTTTGGATATTGGCACCGGGGTTGGAGGACACAAGTCAAGTGGTATTGATTCTTTGGTATCTGGTACTGCTGCTGCTGGGCGAATTTTCGGATGAGGAACGAGGGCAGTCGAATCGGGGATGATGAGGAGGAGGAGGTCCTAGTGGACACTGGACACTACAAGTACTCACTGCTCATATTGCGGAAGACTGACGCGGAACGATACAACACCGGGGTAGTTGTTAGCCAAGATCGATGGACGAGAAGTTTTCGGTTTTTTTAGTTTTTAGTGCGTGCGTGTGCAGTAAAAAATATATACACAAATTTATAAATGCAGAAGAGCGTAAATTCACAACTTGTTTCGATGGATAAATTTTGTTTAAAGCGCTTTAGTAATATAATCGGTGTAGCTACTTCGTGCTCTGGGCTCGTACTGAATGGAATCCCAGATCTTGACTGGATCTCCATTCTGACAGCTCTATACTTGGATCGAGTTCCAATCCAGCGACTACTATTTTTAACCCTGGGCTAAGAGAGTGATTCTCACCTGATCTTGAGCCACTGTTCATCTTGAGGTTCTCGGTCGAGGACGAGACCGAAGACGAGGCCGAGGACACCGATCCGCTCTTGCCGTTGTAGTGGCCATTGGTGGTCAGCAGCTTCTGGGCGGCGACTGCCTCGGAGTTCTGCCCGCCGAAGGGGATGCTGCTCTTCATGTGGTTCTTGCCGGGGGTGATCGGGCGGGAGGGTTCCCCAAACAGCCGAGAGTGCGAGTCGACGGTCTTCTGGCCGCGACGTGGGGCATCACCTGTGCATCATCATCATCATCATCGTCGTCATTGGATAGGTCATCACGGTTGCGGGGGTAACAAATCCAAAGGAATAAAACAAATTGGGGAAACCAAAGAAAAAAAACATTCAAATTAGTGGAGTTGTGTTGGAGTAAAATGTTAAAAATTAGTTTCTTAACTGTGTTTTACAAACAGGTACATAATTGGGACAGTGGATGGGTGAGTACACTGAGAGAAAATCATAAGAAGCCAAGTATTAACAATGTTTTTATGTCTTACGGGATACAACATTATTTACATTTAATTCGACGTTAAATTAGTAACAATGTTTCAAGTTTTAAGATCTTTTTAGAATCGTTCTTAAAGGAAATACATTTCTTGATAGATTTAAAAGATCATAATCCCTGTAATATATAATTCTTTTTCAAAATTGCTTTATGGAGTCATGAACTTATTGAACAATGGAATATAGTCACAATTGTTTAATATGTTAATTCCTATACTTACAACATTTTATTTTATATGCTAAGTAAGAGATATTTCCTCATTGTGTATTATATGGCAAAGGTTAGCTAAAATTGAAAGAGAAGAGCCTTGAGTTCTTTTGGACTTTATCTGTTTGAACTCGAAATGTCATCGGCAGCAGGTGGAAAAGGAAGCAAACCGGTTGGAATTGCAACTTCTCGAGTGGGAGTGGGTCAGTATTTCTGTGGGAAGTGGGCTGTGAGCTGTGTTCTGAGTTTTGTATTCCCTGTTCTGGGATTTAGTTTATTGGGTGTCAGTGCGAGCTGAGACTTTGCGTTGAAACATAAATTAGCACAAAACTGGCGACAACGAAAACAAAGTGAACACAATTTTGGGTTAACGCTGGGGTGTGAGGACTTCTGTGCAATTGTTGTGGACATGAATTAGGAAAGGAGAGACATAGTTCAAGTACCAATGAAATAGAATCTGTGAGCTCCTTGTCGTACTGCAAAGATACGTAGAAAAGAAAAGATATAGAGCGGGGGGAAGGGAATAAAAGAAGAACGAGAACGGGAAGAAAACGATAGACATTTAATAAGCATTTAATAGACCAGAATCCACTGCATCATCTATAGACATCTCATTTTCCAATCAAATAATAGAACAAGCAACTAAAGTTCATATTTTTTTTCATTTTGCTAGGGGAATCACATTTGGGGTGAATATAATCTTAACCTACAACTTACCGTTGTTTTTCAATCCATTATCTTTCTCGGCAGCGAATATGTTGGACACCATGCGATTCTTCACGTTCCTGGGGGTCTGCGGCATCTCCGATCCAAAGATGTCGCTCGATCCGCCGCCGGGGGCCTCAGCACCCTGCAAAAGTAATGAAAAAAAAGGCAAAGACTCATTAATTACAAGCTCATTCTTTTACGCTCGGTAATTGATATGGCACAGTGCATAATTCACAAATTTCCACACGCTTGCCGATGAGGAAAACTGCAATCCTCGGTGCGGGGAAATGCATTTAATGTCTGTGTCTAATCATCATCACTGCGAATGCAAGTGGAAATGGTGATGGGGTTGGAAAGGAGAAGGAGAAGGAGTAGAACAGCACTCATCGAGTTTAAGACGGAGCTAGCTGGCTGGGTGAGCACTCAATGGGCATTAGAAGTCACGCCAAGATGCATCTCACATCTTCCATTCCAGCTGCATCGCAATTAAGTGGAAACCCTGGCATAAAGAATTGCAGCCGAGACAAAAGGCTGGCCAAAAATGTTATGCTTTGTGGCATTCACCAGCCACTCAGTGCTCAGAGCTCAGTATTCCAGTACTCAGTACTCATCCAAGTCAGTCAGTCAGTCGCCATCCACGCAACGTTGCCCAAAACCAAAACCAAAACCACCAGCTACAGTGCACGTCGAATCTTAAGGCCATAATGGTGGCAGATCTCAGCGGGTAGTCGTGGTTTATTAAAATTGCCAGGGTAACGCAGCAGGACTCGATGAAAATAATTTTTAAAGCCACAGTTCATAAACTTTACCGGAGGAAATCGCTTTATATGGTTATTTCCGTTTTCATGAACATTAAAAAAGTAATTTGCAGTTCAATGACTGCACTATAATATTTGGAATATAATTTTAAATGAATAATTATGTTGTAGTCCTTAATATTTTTCTGTGCTTTCTTAGCTTTAGGCCAGGTTCTCGTGTATAAAGCTTGTTTTTAGGGATGTCTCAGAAAATTAAACAAGAAACGTTCTTATTA